CCGTTTCTGTATCCTAGACTTTTCTTTTGATAAATGTTGTTTACAAACATACGTCAACCTATTTTTCGTTTCTATACCTTGTTTACGATTAGTTGAATCGTGCACGGTTACCTGAGAACGTGATGACGAGACTGTGTGGGGTCACGGTCACACCGTTTGTGTATTCATGCGGTTGGTTCTTTGGGTCCAATGCAAGACACATATGATCTCCGGGGAACTTGTAATCTGTACACCAGTATAAAGTAAGTACATGGGTAAGCGTACATGTACCCATTCAACTATTTTATTTTCTTTATTTTTTTAACTACTCTGAACCATGAATTATTTTATCAACCACTATAATTCAATCTAAAAAACAAAATTTTTACAAAAAATATGTTTGCAATAAGTTATGTAAAGATGTATTGGATATACATTTTATTAATGATTTCTCTCGTACACATTTCTGAGTCACTCCCGCCCTAAGTACCACTATGCATTCATGGGTTGTAAAGTATTACGTGGGTGAGGATTTGTGTAAAATGGTTGTGTAAAGTGACTAAAAAGGTGTTGAAATATACATTACGACATCGTGCAGAAATACGCTTGAAAGGGACATTATATACTTTTCAATGATAAATTAGCTGGTTACGGGAACACTTTGCCATACTGCTTGTGTATAGAGGTATGAATTCTGCCTACTTAGTCATGCGAAAGTATCTATATCAATAGTGCATCATTTCAAAATGTCGCGATGACCAGGATGTATATAAACTTGGCCCACTTTGCCTTTTTACTTTAACTTTGAGAGTATACCAAATATAATTGGAGAAGGGCTCTCCAGATAGAAACCACATAGCTCACCGGTTGACCAAGACTGAAATGGATTAATGTATTGCAGCAGAATTTGCATCAGCCGGGGGGAGGGTTGGCGGTAAGGGGCTCATGGAGATTAAGAGCCATGGATCGATCCTAATGGAAGGAAGAGGGAGGGCATGGGCTTTAGCGCCACTGGTGTATATTCATAGGCGTGACGACAATACCACTTTTAAGATCTATATACAGCATAAAATAAGCCCTTTCCACAATCTTTGTTATTGTAAATATCCTTTAAAATGTCGCTGCTGTGAGATAAATCCGGTATAAGTTGTAAGATATCTGGAGTCAATAAACATTAAATACTACCTTTCTCAACGGCTGGTAATAAGTTCTTGTGGGCTGCCACAGTTTGAGTTGGGAGTACTTTTTTCGTGTCTGAGGGCGCCGATTCTAAAAGACCAAACCAAATGTATAAAGAAAATGTCAAACAAAGAATGGGTCGACGTACTGGCAGAGATTTGTGTTGGAAAGACACTGTTTCGGTGCGTTCAAAGACAAGTTCGCGAATATGCAAAACTAATATTTACCCTTTCCGTAATGAAAAGGAAATGTATAAACCGATTGATTCAAAGTAGATATTGTAATATCCACTCGGGAGTTTGGAACCCCCTTTGCCTTCGGTTGTATTTGTTATCACTACAATTTGAGAACTTGATTTCAGATGTCAATGGAAATAGCTTTACTTTACAGATACGATAGGGTGCTAAAAACGTATAAGCGTATTAAGGGGAATGGGTGTAACCAAATATTGAAATATTAAATTGGAAATGAAATGGTGCAGTTCGTCATCAAAAATAATCATTCTCAAGGTTTGTATTTATGGCTGTAACGCTTTTGTTCAATAGGCGCGAAAATTAAATTCACATAATTTAGCACTCTTTAGAATTCTTATAAAGTGCGTTATTTGAATGTATGTTTTGTCAAGTAACTTTAGTAGATTGGAAGTTCAAGCAGTGAAGTCGCCATTTTTTGGCGAATAATTATTAGTATATAAATAAATAAATAAATAAGATAAGATTCTTTTATTGATCCAAATAAATGGAAATGTTTTCCATTGGATTATACATTTTCAGCACAAAAATAAAACAATTTGAACAACAGACATTTATGATAAATTATTTCAAACAGCCAGTCAGTGAGATCTCTTAGCAAAATCGGGGACTTATTAGTTCTCATTCAGATGTGTGACTTGAGAGGAAGCACGCCGGTAAATTCGTACAGATTGGGGAACATAAGAACTTTTATATCTGTCATTCCTCGACCTGATGGAAAGAATTCATCCCGAACGGCCCGATCCTAAGTATCCGTGATAAAGATATATATATATAAATTATTTTTAAACCAGGTATCACTCCGCCAATCCACGCCTCACCTTCTCATTACCTCCTTATCTCAGTGAGTGCGTTTCCCTAACTCATCTGATGTTTATCAACTATGTTTAGTTCTTTATAACTTTATATAGTGTTTGTTTAATATATAATACAATACGTTTGGGATCGACTTACCTTTTCTTTCATTTTTCAAGGGCTGTTAAAAAAAATTAAAAATTTTCAAAGTACGTAGGTTGTACTTAAAAAAAAAAAGTTACTCATTTATACATAAATTAGTATTTGTAAGTAAGTGTAAGTGTAATTGTAATATTTACATTAGTCTCTCCAAACGTCACATCTTACCCACCAATGTAGTTAATGTATTGAGTTGATCTGTGTTGTTAAAGCAGCACTGCCTGCGGCCATCTTTGATTTTAACGTGTAGATTGTTGAGGAGGGGCTCACTAAAATACGGGTACTGAGATTCACTTAAAAGTTGTACACAGTCAAGACACAAGGTTTCAAATGGACCCCCTGGTGGTGCATCTTCCTGTTGATACAACAACAAGGTAGAATGTGTGTCTTTCCTTCCAATAATAACATTTATTGAACCAAACGTTTTTAATAGTGGCAGTAGTCGCCGAATTCTCTAATGCTCAGGTGATCTTTCCCTAAATATCTAAAAAGAATTCTGACATAACCTTGTTTTGATATGCGCAAGGAAACGAATAGACAAGAAATTGAACAATTCCTCTGAAAAATTTCCTGGGGCGGTCGCCTCTTTGTTCAGCTCTGCTTCCAGGAACTTAACTATTGGTGGTTATAGAAAAAGCACACAAAAAATTGCTTTCTAAAATGTATAATTAAAAAGGATTGCTTACTTATATCTAAAGAAACGTGGAAATAGAAAAAAAGGTGAGATAAAAAAAAAAAAAGCAAAAGTCACTGTGTCGTGACGTTAGATAGAACCTATTTTTGACTGCGCCAAAACGTTCAAAAGGTTTTGTTCGATTTAAAATTTCTAGAAAATGAACCGTCAATAACTTTTGAAGCTTACCATTGTGAACATTGTCACATCGTCGTTCTTGGGTAAAGCTGCACGAATTATTAATACATATAATTTTCTATTTGCTTGGCAGTTAATTTCCTGATTTTTATTTTTTTAAAGTCTCCTGCTGTACTTACAGCGAAGGCAGGCAACTGGGATTGTTTACAAAGTTCAATTATCAAGATAATGGCTGAGACTATAAGACTTGTGATAGGAAGTCCAAAGTTCAATATTTTGAACTGTTCTCTAAAATGTGCGAGGAGAAAAAAATAACAGCTGAATGCTAAATGCAACAAAAATATGTTAATGTCTTCTACATAAATATATATGATGGAAAATAATGATTGTCTACGTATGTACGGCTGTAACACTGTGTTCAATTGACGCGCAAAATAAAGCTAAAAAAAATTTAATAAAAAAGCACTAATTCAGATTATTATAAAGTGCATTAATTGAATGCATGTTTTGTCAACTAACTTAAGTAGTAAGTTCATGCATTGCCACTGCCATTGTTGGACCAGTTAATTATAGTTTTAAAATGTAAAAAATAATATGAAAAGATGGCAAGCACAGTGAGACCCGGTAATAGCGTCGCAATTGGACTCCATAAACTCAGAGTGTTTTTAAAGCCGGTTCGCGTTATTTTGTGGACTCTATTTGTGTCTCACCTACCCCCGTCGCAACTAATCCACCCCAGTGCACCCCAGACTCTATTGACGTGCACTGACCACGAAAGCTCAAAGAACTTTGATTCCGTGCTAAATAAATGGGCATTATTTAATACCAAATGAAAAATATGAAATGGAGCTGTACAATTTATCATATGAAATGAAAATGTACAATGTATTATATGAAATGAAACTGTACAATGTATTATCATATGAAATTGAACTGTAAAATATTTCATATGAAATGGAACTGAGCAATGTATCATTATTTTTGTAATCACCTTATTTGTGCATGTTTTTTTGTTTTTTTTGGTTTCATGCATTTATTTGTGGTAACTAAGGAAGGTTTGTACCAAAACGTTGCTCTTCCAAACTGCTGCAAACAGTTAGCAAACGTGACTTCATGTTTTTTTTTATAGCTTTTAAACAACAAAAAAAAAATTAAGAAATTTTGAAATAATTCTTTGCTACTTTAAACTCATTTTTTTCTAACTTTAAAAAAAAAAAAATATATATATCTTTTATTTTTATTCGTTTGTCATTCGTCGTTTGCATAGATTTACTTAGTGGAGTCATTGATGTGACTCTACAATTCATAAGTAAACTGATTCGAATATGCTACATCAATATATAGAAATACTTGAGGAATTCTATTTTCATTCAAAATTTTGTTTGGTGATAACTCAATGTTCAAATATATAGATGTAAATCAGAAGGAGTTATTTCATCTGAAATGTCTGGGTGAACGAAATCGTAAGGAGCAAGCGATTTGGACACAGAATGAAATTTCCTGTGTCTATCCTATGTGCACTCTGTTGGCTGTCAGTTAAGATGCATCTGGTTGTATTAGATTAGCAACAGTTTATGTCATGGAATAAGAATTTATCTTGATAGTTAAAATTTGCTGAATGCAATCATTTTTTTATAATTCATATTTATTAACGAAGTGATTTCAGACTTCTACCAAGGAATTTAACAAAATATTGAATTACCGATCTTTTAATATCACCCGCTGTTCTGTTGGCTTCATGCTGTATGGAGCTTTTGTCTGCAAAGGGAATAGAAAATGGACAATGACACGATTGTACACGTCTGATAGAATTGGAGCCGTTGTGTACAAAAGGGGTGTATGGTTTACTGTCAAATAACGAACACTAAACCAATACTTTGGAAGTTCAGATCGTGTTTATAAAGACCCATGTCTTATAACTACCTGATTGGCGTGTCATCTTGAATAAACGACCTTCTTAAATGTCATGCCCTTTAGAATCGTGCCAGGGCCAATACGTGGTAGAACCACGAGAGTATGCTCTGATTTAACTGACAAAAAAATCAAGACGGCTGTTATAGGAAATAGAATACTTCAGTTTTCTATTAGTTTATTTTTGATGCTTCAGAAGTCCGTTACTGTTTAAATGGTTCTGTCAAAGAGCTGTTTGTAAAGGTGAGACATGTTCAGGTTATCATCAACAAGTATTAACTCTGATATGGTTCATATCATCAATAAGACCAACATCTCCACAGGATGGGGCTGGGTCTAAGATTTGTACAGGGTGTTTGGTCAAATGACACAATAAAATAGTTGCATGGAATTCATATGTCACATTAAGGGTGAGAACGTAAAACCTGAATTTAAAAAAAAAAAAAATCGCAACCACTGAGTCTAGATGACATCCCACAAATGCACGCTGAATTAACATTTTTTTTTTTTTTAAAACTTGTACACACGAATATAACATTTTAAAAAGGAGAGCCATTAAATACATAATTGAAATAGCCAAAATTTAAAAAAAAAAAAAATCGCAACCACTGAGTCTAGATGAAAACCCACAAATGCACGCTGAATTAACATTTTTTTTTTTTTTAAAACTTGTACACACGAATATAACATTTTAAAAAGGAGAGCCATTAAATACATAATTGAAATAGCCAACATTAATCTCTAGCCACACCAAACAAAAAAAAAATGCCTAGACAAAGATAGGTTCCCATTCCATATAGGTGCTAATATTTATTGATTAATTTGTTCAATGTAAATGTGTACCGTAAAGCAACGAAGCATTCTGTTGAAAAATTACATTCAATAACATAGAAGGGATTTCATTATCTAAATGTACATGTCTTAAGTATTTTCAAAGGTACTTACCAACTGACAGGCGTATACTGATGATATAAAAGTCTTGGCAAGGGAGTAATAGCAAAAGAGACGACTTTAGGGTTGGGAGTTGAGGAGGGGATTAATAAACTTTAATAGTTTGTAACACGGGGGGGGGGGGGNGGGGGGGGGGGGGGGGGGTGTGTGAAGATCACGTGTGACCTGACACATTTTTTTTAAAAATTATACAAATAGAACCTGAGGTTGACAGTGGTTAAATCTTTCTGTTGTAAAAGAAGTATTTGTGACAGAGAGAAGGAAGTTGAAGGGGTATTGAGATTTCTGACAGGGAGAGAGAGAGGTGGCAGAGGTTTCTGAAATTTGTGACTGGGAGATGTTGGGGGTAAAATGGGATTAAATAAATAGCGTGACATACTTTATTTGAGAGCCAAAGCGAATGTAGAAGACACTAAGCGGTTGCAACCCCGTATGTTGTTGTGATATGGTGGCCGCTCAACTGTTCTCACTAATACGACATTTCTAGTATCGAAATGAATGTATCTCTTTAAGGAGATGTGTAATGTTTCGAATTGCAATACACATGACTAAAAGGTTTATGGTATTCATTTATATTATGGTTGGGTACGAGGGACTGTACATTTTCGTATGTGTGTGTGTGTGAGATAGAGAGAGAGAGAGACAGACAGACAGACAGAGGTGGGTGTGTGTTTTCGTGAGAAAAAGAGAGAGAGGAGAGAGATAAAGAGAGAGAGGTGGTGGGTGTTTTTGTGGGAGAGAGAGAGAGAAGAGATAGACAGAGAGAGAGAGAGAAATAGAGAGTGGCAGTGGAGAAAAGACATGAGGTTGGAGAACGTTTTGAGTTACAGAGAGAATGGTTTATGCAGTTTACTTTTGAAAAGTGTAGGGAAGAATAGATGACAGTGGTCTTAAGAAAAGGGTAGTGGCTGCGAGGTGGGTCGGTTCAGATGGACATGGGTTGGATAGGAGGTTAGGTAAATACGCATGAGGAAGAGTAGTATAATGACATATTATGAATAAGGTACAGAGGAAGACATGGTGAGTGTGGTTAATATAAGTGTGTCAGCGGGGGGGGGGGGGGAGGGGGGGGTTTTTGGTGAACATAAATATTGTTCGATTAGGAGCGTGGTGGGATTGGTTCTGAGAGTGAGAGACGGGTGGAGGAGAAGGGTGGAGGGGATGGATGAAATGGGTGGAGGAGAGCGGATGGAGGAAAAGGTTGAATTAGAAAAGGGATGGAAGAGTAGGATGGAGCAGGTGGTGGAAGAAAGGGATGAGGAGTGTGGGTGGTGGAGAGCAATGATGGATAGTGATCGAAATGAGGGATGAAAGAGAGGGAGGAAGGAGTGTGATGGAAGAGTGGGATTTAGAAGAGGGATGACGGCGAGGATTAGTGGAGAGGGATGCAAGAGAAGAAATGAAGGAAAGTGAATGGAGCGATGGAGGTGTACTAGAGTACTTTATCATATCATGACAATCCCATTTAATACATATGGAAATAAGAACTTGCGAGGTTTAAGAATCTCCGATTCTACGACCGGGAGAGTGAACACGTTGTTTACTTTATAAGACGCACCGTTCCGACACGCAGTGTTAAACATTGAAGGCAGCAGAGTTTCGTAAAATTTATTGATGTGTGGCCTTCTTTGAGATAAATAAACATACACCCTTTTATTGTCCTGGTACTTTTTCTGTGTTTTTGGTAAAAGGGTTAAACATCTCCACCGCATTGGACATGTCTCGAGACCAACGATGGGCAGGCAAGGGAAGGGAGGGGAGGGCTTGCCTGCGTCTTGATTGCTCTGGCGTATCTATATATAGCCTATATATAGCCTGCGTGGTCGTCGTCGTCTTCTTGTTTGCCCTACTTCTGGCGAATTATATAGATAGAGAGATTATTATTCGTGAATCGATATAGAAATAAGCTGCAATCGCTGGACATAAATGAAAGTTGTTAAACTTCACATCTAAATCTGTGTCACTTCAAGTTTAACGATTTTAGATTAAACGGAACATCCACTGCTGATGAGGATATCTTAAACACACCTTTTCGTCTCACATGCTACAGAAAAACCGTTCCAGATCAGGCAAGATTTTACACAGCAGTTACCAGTTTATCGCAAAGTTTCCATACCACATCTACCCCAGCCCTAATGGTGTAAATATACCAAATTGAAATATTTGTATAAATCGCTGACCTAATTATACTATCATCGACATTATCCTAATTATTAAACAAAAATAGTTTAAGTTATATAAATCGAGCACAAAGACTTGTTTTCGTGAATTCGGACACAAGTCAAATAAGATAAATAATCCATCGTGGCATTTTTGTGTGTTTATACAAGCCAACATTTTGGATTTTAAAAAGCTGGAAAAAAATCCCCAGAAATAACTGTACAACAGCATTAAAGCTGTACAGAAACAAGAAAACATTGACATCATTCCTGAATGGGTAGATCTCACTTTTAGCATGTTTGACAAAGTTATCAATTCAATATACGCTCAAACTATAACCTCAAGTTTCACCTTGAGGTACAGGAGTGAAATTATATGAGCAATGTTAATAGAGACTTTCCAGGAAGAGTAAAATAATAACTATAAAAAGAATTTATATAACATAGCCTACAATTCTGACGAATTTCTGCTCTAAATAACATATACCTCTACAACTAAGAAGAATATCACATTACTCAAAGTAATTACAAACCATTTCTAAGTTGTCTTAGGAATAGGGATGACGTAAATGCAACCTCACTCAGTTTCTAGATTAAGATGACTAATGAGATTTAAGCTTCTTTTTCTTCATCGTTGAAGTTATTACGCCCTACGCATTCAACGTGTCACTTGTGCAAAAATATTTCTTTTCAAAATCCAGTAGAAAAAACATACAAAAGCCAGTACGCCAAGCGTATAAAAGCCGCCCAAAGTACGGTGTGTTTCATTATATTATAGAATGAAATGTCAAATGAATCAGCTGACATAAAAGCCACGATCAGCGATTTGTTCATACAAATGGTCTTAAGCTGCAGTCTCAGTCGGATTCGCGTTTGGCTGGCCCGTTACACTTCTTCGAAAAAAAGTGCAGAAAAGAATGTTTAGAAAAGAATGTTTTGAAAAGAAAGTTAAAAATGCCACCCTGGGTGAACCACACCCTCAACGCCACCTTTCTACTCCACGTGTCCATTCCCTGTAGTTCACTGGCAAGAATAGTAGTGGAAATAGAATCTCAAGGTCATCAATTAGTTCTACCAAATTAAGATGGTTAAAGAACCCACGCGAGGGGAAAACACTCTTGACCTACTCCTCACTAACAGTCATCCCAAGAGTCGAGGTCATCCCTGGGATATGAGACCACTGCATACAGTACTGCGAATTTCAAGTCTGTGTGCTAAAAAAGAAACAGGCTCTGCGAGAAATCTCCATTTATGCAAAGACAGACTGGGACAGCCTGAGAAGTGCAATGACTGAGCTGAGTTCAAACATGCATGAGACTCAGGGTAATGCGACAACAGAAGAGCTGTGGATGAAATTCAAGACAACAATAACTGATGCAGTGAAGAAATTCATACCACACAAGATCTCAAAACCTAAGACAAATCAACCATGGGTTACGGCTGAAATCCAAAGGCTCATAAAACAGGAGAGACCGCCAGTACAAACGTATGAAAAAGAATGGCTTGGTCGAACAAAAAGCCGAAGTACTGAGGCTCCGAAGAACCATCCAACGCTTGCTGCGTAGATCCTACATTAACTACCTGAACGGCATCTTCTCAGAGGAAGATACTACCGCCAAGAACAAGCGGTTCTGGAGCTATGTCAAGCATCAAAGGTCAACAAAAATCGGGGTCCCCCCCCCCTGAGATGGGAAGGCAAGTTGACTTCTGAACCCAAAGAACAGGCGGACATACTCAATCAACAGTTCCAGTCGGTCTTTTGGGGATGATAGAGAGTACTCAGAAGTTGAGTTCCTTCTGAAGACCAAAATGATGAGCACAGCCTACCCCGCCATGGAAGATATCCAGATTTCAGAGAAGGGTGTACTGGAACTCCTTAAAACCATTAACCCCAACAAGGCATGTGGTCCTAACAACATCAAACCACGAGTGCTAAAAGAATTGGCCAATGAAATTGCTCATGCACTAACAATCCTTTTCCAATCGTCGCTATTCCCAGGAAACCTTCCAACTGACTGGAGAACAGCGTATGTCACTCTAATCTACAAAAAAGGAGAGCATTACGACCCTGCCAACTACCGCCCTGTATCCCTCACATGGCTTTCGAGTCAACAGATCATGCAAGACCCAACTGCTTGAATTTGCTGAAGAATTCACGACCAACTTGGAGAACAGCAATCAAACTGATGTGCTTGTGCTGGACTTTTCAAAAGCGCTAGACCTTGTCAACCATAGCTTGCTATTTCACAAACTGCAGAGATATGGGATCCAAGGCACTACCAAAACATGGATCTCTATCTTCCTCAGCGACCGATGCCAGGAAGTAGTGGTAGATGGCAAAAACCCCTCCTTTGACGGTGTTAAGTCAGGGGTCCCCCAGGGCTCAGTGCTAGGCCCTTGTTTGTTCCTAGCATATGTCAATGACCTGCCCGAGAAACTGACATTACAAGCAAGACTGTTCGCAGATGACACAGCGGTGTATAAGACGATCGCCAACAGATCTGACCAGGACCAGCTACAACAGGATCTCAATCGGTTAGCTGAGTGGGAGATGAGCTGGGACAAGGATTTTCATCCCGTCAAGTGCCAGACCCTGTCAGTCTCCAGAAGCAGACTCCCTCTAAACCACTCTTACGAACTGAATGGCCATAGCCTTGAGCCAGTTTCCTCCGTAAAGTACCTCGGTTTTACCATTCAAAGAGAGGTCCGCTGGGACGAGCACATTAACAGTGTGTGCAACCGTTCAAACAAGACCCTGGGGTTCCTAAGGCGCAATCTGAAGATCGGCAACTCAAGTGTGAAAGAAAAAGCCTATAAAGCCTTCGTCCGGCCTATTATAGAGTACGCTTCTACAGTCTGGGACCCATTTACCCAGAAAAGCATCGACAGGTTGGAGGCGGTCCAGCTTTGTCCT